TTAGTGTACCAGTACGTCGTCGAATACTACCTTGTCCTATGTAGCGTGCGCGTGTACCAATTTCATATATAAACGACGTCGCCCCCGAGGAGCGAGACGATGAGCCCATAATACATGCTGCTTGTGTACGTAGAAAATCACGTAGGGCAAGGGCGTCGATAAATGTGGCCCCATGAGGTCTCGACAAGGCTCGCTGGAGATCAACGTCCAATGGCAGACAAATATGCTGCGCCGTCCGACGAGCCCGTCGTCCTTGAGTCCATAGATATCGTGTGTAAGTAATCTTGTGAGAGACCAATAGCGTCACGTACGTCGCTGAGAAATGAAGGGTTGATACACAATCATCACCTGCAAACTGGTCGGAGAATTGCTGGGTAAGATGGCCCAGGAGAGAGATAGTCCATGGACGGCTGAGCACGCGATACCTGCCACAGAGTTGCCATCATCAGCTGATCCACAACGTCCGTCGCGCGGGTGTGGGGAATATCGTTGCCCCTGAAGCTAAGAGACACAGTAAGATGAGGAACCCAATCCGTGATGCTTCGGATCTGCTGCTCAAGGATGGGTTCGGCCAGACTTTTGGGCAGATGAGAGTGCGTAGATTTAGAAGACATAGATGTTCGCAAGCTTGCATCTACCAACTTAGTGATGGATGTAGAGGGTGTCCCTGCGTCGCAGGGCTGAATCGTAACAGCACAATTTAGTAGAAGTCGAACTACGAGTACGAGTAGGTTATGAACGTTGCGAGAGCGGTACAGTCTGGCATGTCGTCGGACCTCCACACCATCGCAAACACATCGTGATGAGCACATATACCCAATCAGCCTTAAACCAAATCCCAAGACCTCAAGATCTCAATCCCCAGACATCGGAGGATCGGAATGGCCGACAGGCCAGTTCGTTAAACAAGCGTTTTTATCAGAGGGCGACCAGGGCACGGTAACTGAGCGTCGCCTGCAAACCGTGCTCCCGAGACTTAGAGTCTCCTCTGGGAGATGTGGCTGCAGGAAGCAAAAGCAAATAATGACCATGAGAACAGGCATGCATGCAAGAAGGGTGGCGGCGACTGGTGTCGACGGTGCTGGCGTGGGCGCTGGCGATCGCAGCGATGCTGGCCTGCTGTGCAGGCTTCAATACAAATAAAGATTGAAAAACAACACAGCTGAGAAAGGATGTAAGCACACACGCACACACTGCCTTCAAATTCGGAGCACTCGCAGCGAACCCGAAGCGGCCTCTCCCCACCATCCCTGTCAAGAAACGATGCAGAGTACACTTGGCGGCGGCGGCTGCGGCGGCTGGAGGAGGAGGAGGAGGAGGAGGAGGAGGAGGAGGAGGAGGAGCAGGATGAGGAGGAGGAGGGAGGAGGAGGAGGAGGGAGGAGGAGGAGGAGGAGGAGGAGGAGCAGGAGGAGGAGGAGGAGCAGGAGGAGCAGGAGGAGGAGGAGGAGGAGGAGGAGGGAGAGGAGGAGGAGGAGGAGGAGGAGGAGGAGGAGCAGGAGGAGGAGGAGGAGGAGGAGGCGGCGGCGGTGGCGGCGGCGACGGGGGCAGAGACCTCGTGCTCGCCGCGGTCTTGGCCTCGGCCGGCGCGTCGCCGCTCCTGCGCAGCTGCGCCTCGCCCGCACGCGCGACACGGACCTGCAAGGGATGTTTTAAAATATAAGATCTGTAACACATGATAAATTTATGATTTCGCCGGCCCGACGGGCCAGAGGCGTGCTAAGATCTCCGGTGACTACTTCACAATATTTCTAGTTCGCGCGCGCGGAGCGGCCCCTGGGGGGGGCCCGGACGAAAAGTACCCCTTCCGATCCCTGGCCGGGTCCTGGGCGACCCAGGGGGGAGGCTATTCTTCGCCACCCTCAGGAGGATCGTGGCCTCCGAGGGGGGGCTGCAATCGACTACCCCCCCTCCCGCCCCAAGGGGCCCCCAAGAGCCCCCCAAGAGGCCCCAGGGGAGCCCAATACGCCGCCAAGGAGCCCCAAGACGCTCCCAAGCAGCCCCCAAGAAGCCCCCAAGACGGCCCCAAATAGCGCTCCAGGGCCGGCGGAATGAGCGAAGCGATTAAATAAGTTTATGCATGAGCTCATCGTTGTTTTTGATACTGAATCCCGGCATTCTTGATACACGATCCGCACGCGGAGCATGTGTAAAAAAACGGCACTGTATGCCGCTCACCTGGTCGGGGCCGCCTGGTTACTTTGGTAGTGGAAACAATTGTTTTTTTAAAATATTTGGTCTTTAGAAGCTCTGCGTGGCGACGCCCCCGTCGCCACGCGTGCCCTCTGCGTGCCTGCGGGGGCGCCGCCACGCAGAAGTACTGGAGACCGAGCATTTGGGGCGTCGCTACGCACGCCCTCTGCGTGGCTGCGACCATTTGTTAAAACCCCAAAACCAATTAAATTCACGAATGAAGTACAGTCATCGTGCTGCCGCGAGGAACGTCAGGGAAGGAACGAGGGGGCTCTGCTAGCCACGGCGGGCCTCGGCCGCAGATAGGTTCCCCGGCCTAAGACCCATCAGCGCCCCTCTAACGGGGACTCCACTAACGGGTACTTTGGCCAGTGACCCTCCCCGATGTGGGCAACGCTGCAATGCCACAAAGAGGCCCTAAAATGGCAACTTTCGGCAATTTTCCAAAGTACCCGTTAGTGAGTACCCGTTACGGCGCCGCTGAACCCACGAGGCGTGCGGAGAGCCACAGCCCCTCCCTGGACCCAAACGGGTCCTCGTTTCCGCGTGTTGTCAGGTGGAGAGCCCACAAGAACGCCGACCCTGAACTCATAGTCTCAGAACTTGAACTAAAACCCAACATTTCTATCTAAAATCTTAGGATTTACATTGAAACGTTGAGAATAATCGAGACTCTGGCCGAAAACTTCCGTTTTCTTAAGCATCGCCTAAGGTGTAGGTTCCCCGGCCTCAGACCCGAGAGGCGTGCGGAGAGCCACGGCCCCTCCCTGGACCCAAACGGGTCCTCGTTTCCGCGTGTTGTCAGGTGGAGAGCCCACAAGAAACCTTCCACAAGAAAGCCGACCCTGAGATTCCAGTACGTCCATTGGTTCTTGGTGTGGGAACGTCACGCTTTCCATAGCAAAACCGTCGAAACCCAAGAAACCCGGGGCACCCTGGAGGCAAGCAGGGTGTTTCTTGGCATGGGCCCCTCACTGTACTTGATGCGCAAATCTGCACCAATGACCGCCAGCCCCCTCGTGGGCGCCAGGCTGTGAGGCTCTTCCCGAATCATTGCTGCTTGGTGCAGCTTGCAATCTGCTCCTTCTCCGTGACCGTGTGCCCTGTTTCCCGCCTGCTGTCGAGCAGGTCCTGTCTCGTTCCTACCGTCTGCAGGGGCGAGACGGCCCAAGATGGCCCCAAGGTTGCCCCAAGGTAGCCCAAAAGGGTCACACTAGCCTACCAGGAGAGCCCCAAAACGCTCAGTGAATGCAAGACGTACGGTGAGCACGTTAAAAGCATGCGGCATGTGCTGTGATAGTCTTCTGTGTTTCCCCTTTATGTTGTTACAGGATGGCTTCCAGACGGCCACCAGATGCCCCAATGTAGCTCCACGATCTCTCAATATGGCCCCAAGGTGCCCTCCAGAGGCCCCAAGGCGCCTCTAACATCGTGGACCTACAAGGTGCCAAGCCGCTAAAGCCCCTCCAGATGCCCCCACCATCGCCGTGCGAAGTGTGCGTTGCCCAGAGGTGCTTCCCAGGTGCCCCCAGAAGGCTCCTCGACTATACCCAGCGGGTGCCAAAGAAAGCCTCGAGGTGGTCTCAAGGTAGTCCCAAGATGCCTCCGCCCAGGGGGTCGTCGGCAAAGTGCGCAACGCTTCAGATGCGCCACCAGATGATCCCAAAATAATTCTAAGAGTCTAGCCCGTGAGAAAGCCAAGGGGGGTCCAAAGGGTTGCCACGACGTCCAACGAGATTCCACGAGTAGCCCAACAGCGCCAGACAGGTTTTGAAAGACCAAACAGGCCTCAAGGAAGACGTCAACAAGCAACCTCACCCTGCTAATCCGCCAGTCCCCGCTTGCCGGGGATATAAGGCGTGTGAGACATCAAGCTGTCCTCCTTCTTCTTTCCCCGTTCGTCAATATACCTCCCTCAGGGGACGGTCTACTCAAAAGAAAGACCCAGCGCAGCTGCGTTGGAAAAAACCCTCAGGATTGCTCCAAGAAGGATGCCCATGTCTTCGTGTCCTTCCTTCCCATTCGTCTTCCACTGCAGGATTCCCAATCGGCAGCCCTCCCCCTGATGGAGCTATGGATTCAGGGCGCCACAGACCTGAGGAGGGATGCGTTTTGACAAAGATTTCGAGACGGATCCGTCCGTGGCAACGGGACTGCCCTCCGAGGATGAAAACATACAATTCAAAACGGAGAAAAATGTCGATCCTCGTTCCTCGGCCCCCCTCTTTCTCTTCCTCCCCCTCCGCCATCCACCCTGCTGAAGACGACGCACCCTGAACGGAGAGACGACAAGATGGTCTCGAGGTGACCTCTGGAGGCTCCGAAAAGGCCCAACGGTGCAAGAACAATACCCCTCCTCCTCCTCCCTCATCCTTTTCCTTTCCCCTCATCCTCCTCTACCAGCTCTTCCTCGACAGGAAAGAGTCAATGTTGTCGAACGTTTTGGGTCCTTCTGGGATCTTCTAAGGCTTCCAGGTCAACTCGATTAAGCTCCAAGAAGTTCCGCATATGTTCCTGACCCGACGTGCTCGATGCCATGAATCGATCAGCGGCGGGGCCAGCGGCAGCATCATCCGTGTGTACATATATGCGTATACACGTGTCGTGTATGTGTGTGTGCGCGCGTGTGTGTGTGTGTGTGTGTGTTCGTGCGTGCGTGCGTGCGTGCGTGCGCGCGTGCGTGCGTGCGTGTGTATGAGAATGTGCATGTGCATGTGTATGCGATAGTGCGATGCAGCTGTGCGTATATGAGCATGCACAGGTACATGTGTATGTACATCTGAGCGTGCTCTTTCAATCGGAGCCGTC